TCAATTGGTGTATTGGTATCTGAAGAAGTCTTTGCTTGTTATTCATTGTTTAGCACAGAAATATTTTATACAGAAAGAATGATTTTTTTCTTTAGGGCATACTTCCATCAAGCTAACATTCCGAACAATCAGACAAATTTGACTGTGCCTAAATTCACCTTGACACATCTTCATTCGGCCATGACATACTATATAACAGTGTATGCTACAGTAGGAACATCTACTCACAGATATAAGATCATCCAGGTTACAACACTAGACGATGGTAAGTAATTTAGACTGTCTGCATAAACCTGGACAACGAAATCCCTGAAGATAGCCAAAAACTTCAAAATTGAAAATGTTGCAGGCACGGTATGATTGACATGTTGATAGAGATGGTACTGAAAACTGCAAGTTCCTGTCCACCCCTCTTAGCATCGGCCTAAGCAGAATTGAACTTTTAAACACGAAAATGGTGAAATTTTGAATTTAGAAAACCTGCAAATGTGTTCATACCTTCTTATCTTATGAAGACCTTCTTGTCATATGAAGAGGTATTCTTTCTTGTCTTTTTAGAGGAGTTACACCCTCCTGTCTTATTGAGTTGAAACTTTGACGTTTAGAGTAGAGAGGATGCTTATTTCTATGTTTAAGATTATCAATGAATCATCTCTGATCTCCGGTGTTTGATTGGTCAGAAACGAGCAAAGAATGTACACTGACCAATGAAAATCTAGAGATTGGACGAGCAAAGAATGTACTCTGACCAATGAAAATCCAGAGGTTGCACTAAGGGTTCAGGAAAAGGGACCAGGCCTGGAGGTTAAAAATCTTTTTTCTGAGTTGTCTCTTAAATCTCAGGATTTTCATTGGTTCAATAGTGAACATTCTGCGGTAATTTCTGACCAATCAAATACTTGAGATCAGATTTGAAGCTCAGAGAATTTCTTTATAACCTTGGACCCAGGCATTTAGACATTATAAAGAAAGTACCTTCTTGTCTTTTAGTGGAGGAACATGTTCTTTGTATTTTACATGTCACAGGGTGAGAAAAATATGCAGCCTGACCAAGACTCCAACCCGCGACCTTCGGAATACTGTTCCCAGGCTCTACCGACTGAGCTATCTGGCCGCTTACACATCTTCTCACCTATATAGTGAACAGTTCTGAACTGTGACATACAATATTGTTGTTGTCATGTCTGAAGAGTCTTAACTAAAAGTGTGCCTGTAACCTAACACACATGAAATTTTATAGCTAGGTACAATGTTCCATAACAGAATATTCAACTGTTATTTTAGTAGATTAAGTGATGCTTTCAGGCATGTTCATCAGATATGTTTTATCAAATATTTACATGCCTGTCTAATTAGCTGAATAAGTGATGAATTATTATTTTTATACTGTAGAAATGTTACTACAAACACATTTGTTTATTGATAATTTTAGTGCCAGATGTACCGAGATATATTGGGGTATCTAGCACGACTAGTTCTCAGACGATAGAAGTTTATTGGGGAGATCCACAAGTTTTTAAAGGAGAGATTCTCTATTTTGAAGTAAGTGAACAAATTTACATTATATCCTACAATGGAGTGTGTCCTTTAGGAGTTGCCTGACACAGGTGGTCACTCAAAACGGGTGCTTTCTGTACTGTTATAGGTCAGATAATAACACTTCCCTGTAGTCCTAGATTTTTCAGTTGTATTTTTTTGTTCAGAGTTTGCCATATTTATAGAGGATATTGAATGAGATTTGGTTTGGTACTAAATTTATTGTACAAGTTGAGAAAAATCATATTATGCTAGCCTCTGGCAAGCTTAATATTGTTTTTTTCAACAAGTTCAATAAATTTAGTAATGAATTTACAGAAAACTAATATTCTATTTACCACATATATAAAATAAGAACAGTTTACTGTAAAAACATAAAAAAAGAGTAATTTTTCATTGACGTGCCTATAGTGTAGCGCTATCATTAGCGCGCTTTAAAGCTATTTTTGTATATAATGCAAATGACGGTTTGTCAAAGTGTTATTACACTAGTGTAATATCATTTTTCTTAAATGGGTTTATTACACTTTTGCGTTGTGCTTTAAGTGATAAACATGTATATTGGCTAACAAGTAATGTTGAAACTTGAAAAAAACTTTCTGTTTCTGAACTTATGTTTGCAAGATTGTAATTATTCTCATTTTTATATGCCCGAAAGAATTTCGGACATATTATGTTATACCCCCTGGCGTCCGTCCGTCTGTCTGTCCGTCCGTCCGTCCGTCCTTCCGTCCGTCTGTCTGTCCGTCCGTCCGTTAGCAATTTGGTTTCCGGAGCATAACTGAAGTTCCATTTGGCCCACAATATTCAAACTTCATAGGATGATTGTCCATATTGGGTAGAAGACCCCTATTGATTTTGGGGTCATAAGGTCAAAGGTCAAGGTCACTATGACCTTAAAACTGAAAACGTTAGCAATTTGGTTTCCGGAGCATAACTTAAGTTCCATTTGGCCCACAATATTCAAACTTCATAGGATGATTGTCCATATTGGGTAGAAGACCCCTATTGATTTTGGGGTCATAAGGTCAAAGGTCAAGGTCACTATGACCTTAAAACTGAAAACAGTTTTTGGAGCATAACTTAAGTTCCATTTGGCCCACAGTGTTCAAACTTCATAGGATGATTGTCCATATTTGGTAGAAGACCCCTATTGATTTTGGGGTCACAAGGTCAAAGGTCAAGGTCACTATGACCTTAGAACAGAAAACAGTTTCCGGAGCATAACTTAAGTTCTATTTGGCCCACAGTGTTCAAACTTCATAGGATGATTGTCCATATTGGGTAGAAGACCCCTATTGATTTTGGGGTCACAAGGTCAAGGTCACTATTACTTAGAAATTGAAAACAGTTTCTTGAGCATAACTTTAGTTCCATTCAGCCCACAATATTCAAAAACTTCATAGTATGATTGTCCATATTGGATAAAAGACGCCTAATGATTTTGGGGTCACAAGGTCAAAGGTCAAGGTCACTTTTACCTTAGAATTGAAAACAGTTTCTGGGACATAACTTAAAGTTCCATTTGGACCACAATATTGAAACTTCAAAGGAGGATTGTTATTTGAAGGAGGTAATACTTTATTTTAGTCCCATGTCTTACAAATGCTTCATCTTTACTAAAAAAAAAACACTTTCGGGCATATAATGCTCCGCCTAGCGGTGGTTCATGTTGAATTAACTCTCTGTCTGACTCTGATTGTGGCAACAGATTCATATCCATGTGACCAGTGCAGACCAAGATCACTCGGGGGACATCCAATCTCCTACGCAGTGATCTCCCCTTATCAGTACAAAGATCTCTGCCATCACAAACATTTTTATCAATATTTTGATATTTTATATTTTTTTAGCTTTTGAATTTATTTTTCATTATTTTGTATACTTTTGATAATTTTTTGATAAACTAAAATGAAAGTTAAAAATAAAACAGAAAGAGGAAAATGACGTTAGATTTTCTATGTAACGGTCCATATTTACATTTGAATTTCTATGTTATGTCATGTGACTTTCATCATGTTACATTTGTTAAGGCAGTGATTACAATTCTGCCAAGGGAGGTAATCACTGTGAGGAGTTTGGGGTACATCTGTATCGTCTAATCATAGTCTGTACTGTTCATGGTTCAGTGACTACATATTGTAAATTTTTCCATAAAAGTGATAAATGGTTTTGTCTAATTGTAAAGATAGACAAGTTCATTCAAGATGTTAAGGGCGGTACAGTTTAATTGTTTTTGTCAATAATTTATTATTGCTTAGTACCATTAAACTATATTCAATAGAATTTCTTTTTATATGTATGTGATTAGTATAGAAATTGTATAAATTTTTGGGCTGGTTGGGAAATGCATAGATCCCTGACCTGTCTCATTCTAATTATCACATTACTGGATACAAAAAGAATTTCACCACAAAATATTCGTTAATAAAAAAGCACATGTAAATATTTGTGATTAAATCTATTGTTATTCAAATAAAAGGTCGGAGTAGGGATCTATCGATGCTAACAGATCTATATGACTTTTGTTCTTTTTTTCTTTCTTCATTTTGAAACTATTTGTTAACATTGCAGGTATGTATTGGAAAGACAAACATGACTATTCATTACTGTGTACAGTCCAAGAAAAACATGTACACATTTGATTCCCTGGAAAATGAGCAACCATTCGTAAACGGACAAAAATATTTTGTACAGGTAAGTTGATTAACAATCTCGTGTTTAATTTATGAGGGGCCTATATTTGTACATGTTGTAATAAAATCTGATCCTCCACCTCCCCTATCCACTATTGCTTTGAGCTTAGAAATCAGAAAAAAAAAATTATATTTTGATGTGGATGCTACCCAACTAGTTTGTGAAGAAAAAATATACTTGTTGTTGTTGTTTGCCTTTTTATACCTTCACTCAATCTTCAATGCTGAGAGATGCTGTCTGTGTCAGCTTCTCTTTGTTGCTATATGGATGAACAAATTCCTATAAATGTATGATAAGAACTGAAGAAAATCTGTGACTTTGTTGTTAAGATTATTGCCTTCAGAATACATGATCAATTTTAACAGCTTTAGGTTGTTCACTCATAATACTATCATAGTACTCTTGTATAAAGAAGCTGTCAGTCAAATAAGCAAAAGGAAGGTTGTTATATTTGAGTATATTCTTGTGGCTGATAACATAAACAATATTGGTGATAATTACCTGTTATGCTTTTTTGAAGCTCTTGTAAGTTCACAACTAACAAAAGGCAAATAAATGAAGTTTGATAAATATGAATTTAGATATTAAAAATTAAGGTAGTCATACTGTAATTCTTTCCCGCCAAAATATTCTAACATGGGCTATATTTGTAGCAAATCGGTTATTTCCGGGACATTATTTTTTCAAAATCTTGGGTATTAGATATATTTACAATCAAGCATTCCTTTTTAATATGTTAAGATTTATTGAATACCGAAACTTGTGAAAAAATAATGGTTCCGGAAAAGACCAATTTATTACGAGACTGGCTGATGTTAGAAGAAATTCTTTGGCAGGAAAGCATTACAGTAAGACTACCTTAATTTTGCTTGCGAGTTGTTTGTCAATTAAATTTTATAACTTTTTAATTGTTCTGTTTTACTTTCTTTCGGCATCAGGTATCTGCAGTAGATAGTGTTGGCGAGGGTGCAAAAACTGAACCGAAAAATATCACATTTGGCATTGAGGGCATATCATCATACGTTGGGGACTTGGAGGGAACACCTGTTGGTAATACCTCCATCAAGCTGACGTGGGTGGCCCCAGCTAATGACGGTGAAAAGATAAACAATTATGTGGTACATTATCAGAATCTGCTAGGAAATATGGTCACCCGCATTGTTGATAAGAAAACACTTTCTTATGTTGGTAAGTATCATAATTATAAGAATACATGATCAATAAAAAATTATTTGTAATATAAGGCTTTAGTCAATGAATTGTTTTATGTTTAAAGAAAGTAAGATATCTTTTCTTTGTTATTCTGTTTTCTTTAGGGATTTGTTTGAAAGCAGTTTGAATATTTAGTATTAAAGCATGAAGCAGTATTTTTATAATACAATAATTTGAAAACATTATGATAAGATATGTTACACCGTCTTATTATATGAATGATGATTATTATCTTTTTAGTTGAGGACCTTTGTCCAGGGTCGTGGTACACGTTTTCTGTTGCTCCTAACAACAAGGTATCAGGGACAGGACCTGGAATCTACATCTCCAGTAAAACAGATGGTACGTTAACATCAATTGAGCCGCGTCACGACAAAACCAACATAATGGGTTTGCGACCAGCATGGTTCCAGACCAGCCTGCATATCCGCGCAGTCTGATCAGGATCCATGCTGTTCGCTTACAAACCCTATAACAAGTAGAGAAAGTGATAGCGAACAGCATGGATCCTGATCAGACTGCACAGATACGCAGGTTGGTCTGGATCCATGCTGGTCTCAAACCCATTATTATACCCCCAAAAACGAAGTTTGGGGGGGTATATAGGAGTCACCCGGTGGTCGGTCGGTCGGTCGGGCGGTCGGTCGGTCAGTCCAGACGTCCGTTGCATTTTCCTTGTCCGGAGCATAACTTGAAAACTAATGGTTGGAATTCAATATAACTACATACAAGCACATTGAGAGGAAGTGCAGTGTACAAGAACCATAACTCTATCTTGACTAATTACAGAGTTATTGCCCTTTGTTACTTTTCCTTGTCCGGGGCATAACTTGAAAACTACTGGTTGGAATTCAAAACAACTTCATGCAATTGTCAAACACAATAAGGGAAAGTGCAGTGCACAAGAACCATAACTCTATCTAAAGTAATTACAGAGTTATTGCCCTTTGTTGCTTTTCCATTGCTTTTTTTTTGTCCGTTGCATTTTCCTTGTCCGGAGCATAACTTGAAGACTAATGGTTGGAATTCAATATAACTACATACAATGGTCAAGCACATTGAGAGGAAGTGCAGTGCGTAAGAAACATAACTTTATCTTGACTAATTACAGAGTTATTGCCCTTTGTTACTTTTCCTTGTCTGTGGCATAACTTGAAAACTACTGGTTGGAATTCAAAACAACTTCATACAATTGTCAAACACAATAAGGGGAAGTGCAGTGCACAAGAACCATAACTCTATCTAAAGTAATTACAGAGTTATTGCCCTTTGTTGCTTTCTATTGCCTTCTTTTTTTGTCCGGACCATAACTTGAAGACTAATGGTTGGAATTCAATATAACTACATACAATGATCAAGCACATTGAGATGAAGTGCAGTGCACAAGAACCATAACTCTATCTAAAGTAATTACAGAGTTATTGCCCTTTGTTGCTTTCTATTGCCTTCTTTTTTTGTCCGGACCATAACTTGAAGACTAATGGTTGGAATTCAATATAACTACATACAATGGTCAAGCACATTGAGAGGAAGTGCAGTGCATAAGAATCATAACTCTATCTAAAGTAATTACAGAGTTATTGCCCTTTATTACTTTTCCATTGCTTTCTTTTGTCCGGACCATAACTTGAAGACTAATTGTTGCAATTCATTATAACTTCATACAATGGTCCAGCACATTGAGAGGAAGTGCAGTGCACAAGAACCATAACTCCATTTTGACTTATTACAGAGTTACTGCCCTTTGTTTCTTTTCCTTGTCCAGAGCATGACTTTAAAACTACTGGTTGGAATTCAAAACAACTTCATACAATGGTCAAGCACAATAAGGGGAAGTGCAGTGCACAAGAACCATAACTCCATCTTGACTAATTACAGAGTTATTGCCCTTTGTTACTTTTCCATTGCTTTTTTTTTGTCCGGACCATAACTTGAAGACTTATTGTTGGAATTCATTATAACTTCATACAATGGTCAAGCACATTGAGAGGAAGTGCAGTGCATAAGAACCATAACTCCATCTTGATTAATTACAGAGTTATTGCCCTTTGTTACTTTTCCTTGTCCAGAACATAACTTGAAAACTACTGTTTGGAATTCAGTACAACTTCATATAGTTGTCAAGGACATTAAAAGGAAGTGCACAAGAGCCATAACTCCATTTTGACAAAATACAGAGTTACTGCCCTTTGATACTTTTCCTTGTCCGGAGCATGACTTAAAACATACTGGTTGGAATTCAAAACAACTTCATACAATGGTCAAGCACAATAAGAGGAAGTGCAGTGCACAAGAACTATAACTCTATCTTCAGTATTTATAGAGTTATTGCCCTTTGTTCTTTTTCTTTGTCTTTCTGGACTTATTACAGATTAATTCAATTAAACTTCATCAATGGCCAACCACATTGAAAGGAAATGCAACATATATGAATTATCTTTAATTGCCCACAACCATAACTCTATGTTTCAATTATATTACAAGGTATTCTGTTACTAGTAACATCCTCATTTCCGAAGCAGACTTGTGGGGGTATTAATCACATTTAGTGATAGTTCTAGTGTTGGTTTTGTCATGACACAGCTCAATTCTATTATAACTCTAGCTGAAATGTTTTAGTTTTCAAAACAATATGAATTTGAAATATAGAATTTCATTTAAAGTATATTTTACACACTTTTTACCCGTTTCAGATAAAAAGAAGTTACTTTGTTAATGTAAGATGTATATATTATATTGCTATACAGTAGAACTTCTATGACTCGAAGTTTGATTAGTCATTTCATGATGTGTTGAGGTCAAACAAAAGTTCTGATTTATTCCCCTGTATATTATCTTTATAAAAAACTATGCATGTGTCAAAGTTTTTATGTGTCGATATTTTCAATGTATCGAAGTTTTCTTCGTATAGAATAAATCAAGTACAATTTACCATCAATAAGTGGAAGTCACACCTTCTATCTCGAGACATTTTTCACACCTTTGCTGGACGCGAAGATGATTTCCGATCAACTTGTGTGACAGGTGTTGATAATACAGCATTTTATTACATGCTTTTCGGTGATTTATAGAAATATATCAGTGATATAAAACTGGTAATTTCACTGTTTGAAACAGTGAAATTACCACTTTAATAATTTCACTGTTTTGAATTTAAGCCCCAAACTTTTTTTTTTTAAGTGAAATACCGGCGTGCACATTACTGGGTACCAACTTAATGACGTGACGTCATAAATGACGTCATGTTGTATTATTATTTGGCGCGCTTTTCATTCAGTATTAGGTTTAATGTCTTATTAAAACGTTTATTTGCATATAATAAAAAGAAAATTTGTTTAGTTTAGTGTAAGATCATAATATATTTCACCTTGTGAACACCAAAAGTTCATATTTCACTCGTGGCTGCGCCACTTGTGAAATATACCTTTTGGTGCTCACTCGGTGAAATATATTCCGATCTTACACTGAACTTAACAAATATCCTCTATGTGTTCTAACAGCCTTTGTATGCGTTCACACGTATGATTATATGCTCTAATTGTTATTATTATCCCCCGCCGAAAAATTTCGGCGGAGGATATAGAAATAGTCTCCGTCCGTCCAACCTTCCGTCCGTCCGTCCGACATTTTTGTCCGGAGCATATCTCTAAAAGTATTTGAGTTATCAACTTGAAACTTCATAGGTGGATAGACCTCATTGAGGGGGAGTGCAGTGCACAAGAATGATAACTCTACCTTGCATGATTTTTGAGTTATTGCCCTTTGTTATTTTTCAAAATTGATTTTTGTCCAGAGCATAACTCCAAAAGCCTATGAGATATTAACATGAAACTTCATAGGTGCATAGATCTCACTCAGGAGGTGTGCACTGCACAAGAATGATAACTCTACCTTCATAATTTTTGAGTTATTGCCCTTTGTTATTTTTCATACCTAATTTTATCACCTGAGTGGAGCATAACTCAAAAAGTGTTCGAGATATCAACATGAAATGTCATAGGTGGATAGATCTTATTGAGGAGGAATGTTGTGCGCAAGAATGATAACTCTTCCCTATACAATTTTTGAGTTATTGCCCTTTTTTTTTTCATGCTATTTTGTCCAGAGCTTATCTCAAAAAGTATTTGAGGTATCAACTTTAAACTTCAAAGGTGGATGGATCTCATTGAGGAGAAGTGCAGTGCTTAAGAATGATAACTCTACCCTGCATTATTTTTGAGTTATTGCCCTTTGTTATTTTTCAAAATTAATTTTTGTCCAGAGCATAACTCAAAAAGCCTTTGAGATATCAAAATGAAACTTCATAGGTGCATAGATCTCTGACTCAGGAGGTGTGCACTGCACAAGAATGATAACTCTACCTTTTATAATTTTTGAGTTATTGCCCTTTGTTCTTTTTCATACTTTAATTTTTTCTCAAAAAGTATTTGAGGTATCAACTTGAAACTTCATAGGTGGATAGATTTTACTGAGGAGGGATGCAGCACACAATAATGATAACCTACCCTGCATTATTTTTCAGTAATTGCCCTTTGTTATTTTCAGCCATCAGTATTCACATAGGTTTCAAATCTGTAATCACTATAGCCATCAGTTTTCATTACCAAAAGACCTCTTAAAATAGAATTATTCCGCTCTACTACATATACATTCTTCCAATGAGCAAACACATTCGGCAGGGGATGGCCATGTTGACATGGCTCTTGTTAAAATTGCCGTAGTTGTATTTGAAAATAAACAGTACAAATTAGATTCGTTTTGTGAACTTCCTGGTGTTGCGTGATAATCACATGGGATATATTTACTATAAACTGGTTTAGTAACTCTCTTGTTTACAACAAATACTTGAAATTTTGTCATTAAATTAAGACCGGTTCATTAGACGAAGTCCCGATTTGTCGAAGTTTTTACACAAATCCCTTTAATTTCAATTTACCAAAGTTCTACTGTATATAAAAATGCCATATTTAAAAGCTAACAAGAGTGGTATATTGCTTTTATTAACATTTTAATTGAAGTTAGCAGCATACATTTGTTTTGTTGTTGTACAGGTGCTGCTATAGGTAAAATCTCTAATATAAGTGTGGAATGGATAGCACCTGCTGTGTTGAAGGTATCTTGGCCAATTCCTGATGGAGCTAGCCCTAATGAGGTATAATATGATAATTCAAATATATTTGTATTTTATTAGTTTAAAATCTTATTATTTAGACATTTTTATTTTTTTGTGATAAAGTTAGCATAGTTTGCCCCTTAAGCAATCAGGCATTCTGGTAAATATGTTGTTTTTTTTTAATTTATTTATAGATTAGATTTAGACATCAATGATACTGTTAACAGTTGTTCATACTTTGAAAATTGTTATATAATCATGCGTTTCAGAATTACACAGTGTATTACGACTATGACCCGGACAATTTACACTCACATAAAGTATCACAATACGCAAAGAAGAGGATAGTGAATACAAACTCTACAATAATCAATGGACTGAGAGGGTGTGAGTTGTACTATTTCAGGATCGCCCCCGGGAACTGTATTTTATCAGAGGTGAAGTCGGAAACAACATACTATGGTAAAATATTTTGTTTACGACTGCTTGTTATAACTAGAGATGATATGTTTTAACTCTTAGATACCACTTGCCCCTCACCGCTGTGGGTTGGAATCCCGACAGGGACATGGATTTTTTCATGTGAGGAAGCTATCCAGCTAGCTTACGGAACGCGGGTGGTTCTACTCAGGTGCCTGTAATTGCCTGAAATAATGCATGGAGGGGCACCTGAGGTCTTCCTCCACCAGTTAAGCTGGAACGTCGCGATATGACCTATATTGTGTCGATGTAACGTAAAACCTAATCAAAACAAAAAACTCTTAGATGCAATATTAGGTTTAGGAAGTAATATTTACGGTATTAAGTCAAGTTTTAGATGGTTTAAGGCATTCAGTTTTTAGATGGTTAAATATTAGGGAATTTGAAATGGTTAATACAGCCATATGAAGGTGTGTACCTATGATTTGTAACCTACATGTATGTTGTAGTTAGAATGCCAGACATGTCTTTTAAATAATACACAAGGGACGTCGGTAATTTTTCTTCTCCACTTTATACTCTTAATTTCTCTATATGACTTTTAAAGTGTGTGGATTTAAAACACAAATAGAAAGAAAATTGTTTGTACAACTGTTATAGTAAGTACAAGTATCCCATCCATGTTACATTCTTAAGCTAGGTGAGCAACTTCAGGGCTATGATGGCCCTCTTGTTAAATTAACTTTAAGTACTTCATTTGTATAGGATCTGACATAAGAGAATACAACATTAAATTTTATGAAAGTATACTTATTTGTAGATCAATTGGCAGAACCAGAAGATCTTGCCTTCCACCCAATTAATATGTCCAGTGGCAATCTAACTTGGAAGGCGTCCTGTCCTAATGGGGAACCGACAGTATGTATTATTATACAGTTACAATATTTCTGTAACAATTTACCCTGAGCCTGCTATTGCCAACAGAATCTACCCGTGGGACCAGTGCAGACCAAGATGAGTTGGCATATCTTTGTTGTCCGTTCAAGGTCTGATCATGGTCTGCACTTTTTG